GGGAGGGGGGCAGTGGGGTGGGATCCTGGAGGGAGCCTTTTCCCCCAGGGTGATGGTGCCCGGCTGCCCGCAGAGGGATGCTTTCCAAAAAGCAGCGGAGTCACTGGGCAGCAAGGATGGGCAGCAGTGGGCAGCTCTGCTCATATGGCACCTTTAAGAGCAGGGAGTGGCGTCCCAGTGCTGCCTAAAAATAGTGTGTCTGTCCCCCATCCCGACTGGATCGGTGGAGTGTCCTCCTCCCAGCAGGAGAGCAAGAGGGAGCGAGCCAGAGTGGGGCTCAACCCAGCCCCAGAACCACGCCCCAGAAATTGGTGGCAACCCCATCAGGGCAGCAGAGAGCACGGGGTGCTGGGAAGGCGAGGCTGTGTCCAGGGGAGGGGGGCGAGTGGGAGTGTCATTGCCTTTTCCTAGCAGGGACACCCTCACCACACTCCACTCAGGCTCTGTCCACCAGCGAGGCCCCGCGGCCATCCCCAGCACCATGGTGAGGAACGTGGATGACTTTGACTTCTGCCTGCCCTCGCACGCTGAGGGGGTGCTGGAGGGGCTGCAGCAGCTGCGCAGCAACCCCAACAGTGGAGACGTGACGCTGTTTTTCCTCCCCCGGCCACCCGGGCTTCCTGGCCCTCTGCAGCCACTACTTCCACGCCATGTTCTCCGGCGACTTCGCCGAGAGCATCGCGGCACAGGTGGAGCTGAAGGAAGTGGACCCCGGCGCCCTGGAGATGCTGCTCGACTTCGCCTACACGGGGAAGGTCACCATCAACCAGAGCAACGTGGAGGGGCTCATTAGGACCTCCAGCCAGCTCCACTTCCCCACCATCCAGAAGGTCTGCAGCCGCTACCTTCGGCAGCAGATGGATGCCACCAACTGCCTAGGTATCTGTGAGTTCGGCGAGAGCCATGGCTGCCCTGAGGTCTCCTCCAAGGCCTGGTCTTTCTTGCAGGAGAACTTTGAAGCAGTCTCTCTGCAGGAGGAGTTCCTCCAGCTCTCTAAGGAGAGGTTGGCCACCTACCTCTCCAATGACCAGCTGCAGGTGCAGGAGGAGAAGAGCCTGGCCGAGGCCGTGCTGCGCTGGGTACGCCACGACCCAGGGCCACGAGCCAAGTTCCTGCCGGAGCTGCTGGAGCTTGCCCACCTCGTCTCACTGCCCGACCAGTACCTGCAGGACCTGCTTGCCACTGAGCCCTTGATCCGCGACTCGGATGCCAGCAAGGCGCTCATTGCCCAGTCCTGTGCCACAGTGGGTGACCCCCGTTAATCCCACCCCCAAGCTGGTGAGGAGGCTCAGCTCAGAACCTGACTATCCTGCTCTGTCCTCTCCATCAGGGGCAGAGTGATGCGGGTGCCCAGAGGAGCGCCCCAATCTCGCCACAGAAGCTAGAGGAGGTGCTGGTTGTAGTCGGTGGCCGTGTGCTGGAGGAGGGCGAGGATGAGGACACAGGGCTAGAGATGCTGGCTACCCACAGGAACTTTGCCTTCTACAACCCCAAAAGCAGTAAGTGCCAACAGCAGGGGTGGGGCAGGCACACATGCATGTTCATTAACACCCTGTGTGCCCCAGAGCCACCTCTTGCCAAACGATCTGGCATCAGGAGGAGCGCTGGGCGGGTGGGGGGTGGGAAAAGTGGAACGGGACTGGCTTAAAATCATCACTGCTGGCTGGGCATGGTCATCACTTGGCTCCACTGGGTTTCAGGGCAATGGATGGCGCTGCCTGATTTCCCTGATTATAACAAATGGGGCTTTTCCCTGGTGGCTCTGAACAACGATGTGTATGTCACAGGTATGTGCCAGGGCTGCTGGTGTGGGCTTGGGGGTCCCCAAGAAGCAGGGAGAGAGGATGTGGGCATGGGGTGCTCACAAGGGTTACTCTCCTCTCTGAGCAAAACCCTCTCCTTACTCTCCTTTTGGGTGGGTCCAGCCACTGGCAAGGGATGGGATGACTACACTTAGATGATCTGTCCCTCCCCAGGCGGCTCTCGGGGGTCCAAGAATGACACCTGGTCAACGACCCAGGCCTGGTGCTTCTGCCTCAAGGACGGCGTCTGGAAGCCCATTGCTTCCATGCTCAGAGCCCGGACTAATCACACCAGTGCCATCCTCAATGGCGAGATCTATGTCATTGGGGGTAAGGCTGTAAAGACCTCACGGGTGCTGCTCAAGCAGGGGTCCGTGGGTGCTCTGGAGCAGTGGGTGGCTGTAGCATCCTGCCACCCTGCAGGGACGACAGTGGAGGCGGTAGAGGTGGAGCGCTATGATCCCTACAACAAGAGCTGGTGTGCCATCAGCCCAGCCCTCAAGTACGTGAGCAATTTTGCAGCCTCCAGCTGCTTGGGCAAGCTCTACCTGGTGGGCTCCTGCGCCGTCAAATACAACGCGCTCACCCTGCAGTGCTACAATCCTGTCCAAGGTGAGAACTGGCACCACCGCTGCACCCCAACAATCCTTTCCCAGGGAGCAGGACTGAGGGGAGCCCCAGGCAGGCAGCATCCTGTGTCGCCAGGCACGGTCCTGCCTGAAGGGACCAGGTGCTACCAAGGTCCGTCCACGGCTGTGGCGTGAGGTGAGGGACCAGTCAGGAGCAGATGCTGGTAGCATGGACCTGAGTCACAGACCTCCAGCACAGCCAGGACCTGGACATCGGTGGCGTGGGATCCTTGGGGCAGAGGGGCAGGGGAGGCTGCCTGCCTTAGGGAGAAACTAAACCCTGTGATAAAGCCACCTTCTTGAGGAGCCTCTGCACAGCCTGCAGTGGTCTCACCCATCCCACACCACCACTACAGACAGTTCCCCCACGTGGTTTTATGCAAGAGCCTTGTCTGGGATGGGGACCGTGTGTTTCACCCTGCCTGGCCCATCTGTCCTCTCCCTTTCAAGCTCCCCCTTAAACAGCCGTGGGCTCAGCAATGCTTTTTTCAGCCACTGGCAGCTGCGTCAAGAGCCAAGGGTGCTGCATAGTGCTGACAGCTGTTCTTGCAGATCTGTGGAGTGTGATCACATCTCCCTTCATCCCCAAGTACCTCTCAGCCCCACGGTGTGCCACCCTGCATGGGCTCATCTACCTCATTGGGGACAACACCAAGAAGGTTCACGTGTACAACCCAGAGGCCAACATCTGGCAGAAGGTAGCAGGATGCAATCACCCTCCCGGGGAGGTGCAGTAGCTCTTTGCTCCCCACCAGCAGCCCCAGCACACCCTCTCCCTCCTGCCCACCCATCCCTTGGCTCTATTAACCCCTGCAGAGATGAAGATGCCCCAGTCCTTCCTCCCCTGCTCCCCCACCACACCCACACCAGGATCATGTCTTTCCCATCGAGTTACTGATTTCGAGCAGTGTTCACACTGCAGAAGCCCCCAGGACCCACTTCTCCAGCACCACCCTCCTACAGGGTTTGCAGGGCTCCTGCCTGCACAGTCCAGCAACGTCCTTCTTGTCCCTTCCATCCCCCAGAGTACTCACTTCACACAGCACCTCCAAATTTGCTCCTGTACAAGCACAACACAGGGGTTCTTCTAAAACCAAGACATGGCTTCAGAGGCCCTCAAACCTTGCAGAGAGAATGGGGCAGGAGAGCGTGCTGGACGGATTGCTGTCTTCTGCAGTGGGGGTGGGAGGTCCTCGGGGGGTCCCAGCACATCTCTCTCTGCTCCTCACACAGGTACAGCTTCTGCACACACTCCATGAGAACGGCGGGATGGTACCGCTGGGCGACCGGCTCTTCGTCACCGGTGGCCATTGGCAGGGCATGGATGGGGACTACCAGGTGGAGATGGAGGTGTATGACTGCACCAAGGACCTCTGGACACGGGAGGGCTCCCTGCCCTGCCCCTGGCTCTTCCATAGCTCCTCCTCCATCTTCATGGACACCTCCAAGTGGACAGAGGCTTTCCAGGGTGCCCGTCGGTGGTAGGAGAGCCCGCGGTGGCTGTTGTCCTGCACAGCTGCTCTCCCTCTTGCCTCTGTCCCCACTGCCAGTTCAGCTCTGCAGGGGAGGAGACAAACCCCTCTGCCTGTTTTGCTGGGGTGTTGGGAGCATGTGTCGTGCTGCTGCCATGAGGAAATGGCTTTTCCTTATAAATGCACTTTGGCTGAGGAGTGCTCACTTTTAGTTTGTTTCCTATTTTTCTTTTTTTTTGAGAACTGCCTTTTCACCCCTCCAAAGTCCAAAAGCTTTTAGGGTATTTTGAAGCCTCCCAAAGTGTAGCTCATCCCATCAGAGTCTGTAATTCCTGCCTGGTGGCCATGGCCCCTCTCCCTGCCACATTGACATCCAGCATGAGGGAACCACTGTTCCCTGGCTCCCAAAGCTCTCTGGCACCTTGGCTGGCCCACACTGAAGTGTCAGACCTGCTTCAGCATGCTGTGGAGGAGAATGACAGGAGACAAACCGACTTTTGGATGCTTTTGTATCCTCGAGTGTCACAGCAGCTGGTGGTGGGGTGCTTTATCCTGTGCATCCCCATCTCCTTGCAACCCTGGGAGGTGACCCGAGGATCGTTGTGAAGCAGATGGCACCTCAGAGGCTCCTGGCGTCGGAACAGAGCTGGATGGTGCCTCCCACCCCATCCCAGTCTCTGCTGGTACCTGGTGGCATGGCAGAGGATG